AAAAAAAAGTGAAATCTGCAGGTATTTAACCCCCTTCACTTACAGCAAACACGTGTTTTTTCCCCCCAACCTCCAAATCATTAAAATCTCATTTTCAACATTTCCTTGTTTATCAAAGACAGAGGTGATGGGAGATTTCCAGCTGGGATCAAACATGCGGATTTCTTTGTACACTGCACGATGAAAAGAGCCCTGACGACGTTTCCAGCTGCGACAACAATCTCCAAATCGTTTTCCAGATCTCACAAGAATAAAAGCCTCTGTTTCCCGTCTCCTCCTTTCATGTGATGGGAGCATTAATTCAGGCTGACACTGAAAGCCGTCGGCGCGTTCTGTGCAAAGAAAACTGATGAGCTGACATCGATTTCGGATCGCTGCCCGGGATTTGATCGGGTCACCCCTCTGCGATCAATACCTGCAGTCTGATGTAGATAGGCAGCCTGTTGATATTTAGGTCACCATGCAGAGCTGATGTAGGTTTATCGAGCAGTGGGAAGCTCACATCTGCAAAGAGTGCTGAGGAATTTTGACCCAGGGATGCAATTCTTTCACTAGAGGCCTGAGAGTTTGAGCATCCGAAACATTCCTAGGACTGCACTCCTGTACACCTTGTGACATTTCCTCCAGTGACGTATCAGGTCAAACATACAAAGTGCAAATGCTTGTTTCTGTTCCTCTACATCAGACATTGAACTGGTGCTAAGAAAAAGATTTAGAGACTCACCCGAGAATAAACTAATAGCATGTTTGTATCAAATATATTAAAGTTATTGCACAAAAACAGCTGATTCTGAGGGGTTCAGGTTGCTGAGTTTCCATGAAATGAGCCAAATGAAAGCGATCCAGGAGCAATTTGTTGGCAATCTGCATTTTCCAGGAAGATGGAGCGTCACAAGGCAAAAGTGAGAACATCAAGTTAACATTTTGGATCCATGGCGTGGAAATTCCCAAGAGCTTAATCCGATCAAGAATCTATAATCAATATTTAAAAAACAAAAACAAAAAACAGGTAGATAACCAAGAGCCCCTACACTGTGATCACCTTTGACCGCAGGGATGGAACAGATATGAAAAATACGAAATGCTTCTTCCTGTCTAAATCTGTGCGATTACTGCTGTTCCCTAACAAAGACAAACCCCGACCACTGCAAGTTTATGTCGCCTAATCATTTGTCAGCTAGAATAACATTTCATAACAGTACAATAACAACAATAAAAAGGATAACATCACATGAAGTCTTTTAATGCTTCAATAATCTCCACAGAACACCACACGACCTGTAAACGCAGCACCAGTGTTTGCATGCCTGCTGATCGCTTCCATTTATATAACTTTATTGACACTAATGCATCTGCATCAGAGCAGTGTAATTTCTTTTCTTTTTTTCCTTTTGCGTGGGGGTGGATTTCCCTCGGTTATACATGACTTTAAAGGTCCAGTGGCGGTCTGTGTGTCTATGAGGTAATAAAAAAAAAGTGGTGTTACATCACCGGTGCATTAACTTATTGATGCCATGATTTCAAAAACAAAACATCCATTTTCAGGAGGAAATTGAAGCTCCGCATTAATTACTCAACAAGTGGAAAACGCCACTGCTGACTGCGTCCCCTGAAGCGCCGCACTTTTATAACACACCAACTGTGCTCAATAACAGCTAATGCTCTTTTACTTTAATTCCACGAGGTGCATTTAGGTGCTCTAATTTAAAGGATGAAACTTAAGACTCTTATTTTCAGACAAAGAGACAGTTTAACCTGAGATGGATCGGAGCTGAGATGAAGCGGAAAATCCTCTGAAATCCCTTCAATCATGTTAAAATGCCAGCAGACGGCGTGTGTCTGCGCGTGTGTGTGTTTGTGTGTGTTGTGTAACGGTGGCCTCCTAAAACAATATTTGGAAGCTTTTCGCAGGCAAAAAAACAAACGCACGTCCATTAAAGCATAAAAAGTCTAATCTGATTTCAGAAGCGACTCCATTACTGTATCAAAGGGCAAAGATGGGCTTTAATATAGTGTGCATAAACCTCACTGGGTGTGCCTCCATTATCAAACATCTGCCTTTTATTACATAAAAATAAAATTTAGAAAGATATTCCATCTTTCTAAAAATATACAAACTGAATATAAAATAGAAAGACTGTATGTATCGAGACTGAAGTGCACCAGCTCAGTGATGCAGCAGCAGAAAGGTCGTCAGAGGTAGAACAAACCATAACGACGCTTTTCAAATTACTACTACTACATGTACAACAAAAGTAGATGCAATCCATCAGTGGAAATATCCACAGGTTTAAAAATATGTCTATAAGTAGACATACAATGGGGAAAATAATTTATCTCCTGCTGAATTTGCAAGTTTGATCATTTACAAACAAATGAACAGTTTCTGATTTTTACAATAGTTTCATTTAAACAGAGAGAAACAGAGTATCAACCAAAACTCCAGAAAGAACACATTACATAAAAGTTAAATTGATTTGTGTCATTGAGTGAGGTATGTATTTGATCCTCTGTAACCCAGCTAGAGTTCCTGCTTCCACAGACTGGCTGTGAGCCAAATGGGCACGCAGATTAGAGTTAGTTAATCAATTACAGATACTCCTGATCTCTCCTTGTTGTGTATAAAGCACACCTCGCTAAAGAACCGGTTTCAAACATTCCAGCCTCTCCACCACTACGGACAAGAGCAACTAGATGTCAAAGAACAAGATTGGTACAGACTACAAGACGAGTAACACGAAGCTCAGTGAGAAGGTGATAAATGGGAAATGAAAGAAATCTAAAATGACCATCAGTCACCCTCGTGCTTTAGCTCCAAACAAGAGCTTGCCTCATGAGAAAGCTGGTGGATGAGCCCAAAACTATACAGGAGACGCTTGTTAATGACCTGAAGGCACCAAGAAGACCATCAGTAACACATTCCCGCAGTCAAGCATGGAGGTGGAACCATTACGCTTTGGGACTGTTTCTGACTGTACGGAACGACTTTATCACATTGGGGAGCCAACGGACCATTAAATCTTGGAAGAGAACTGACGGTGCTTCCTCATTTTCAAGTCATTTAATTTAGCTGGAATGAACAAGCCAATATAAGTGTCATCTTATTGGGTTCACACTTTTGATTGGTTGCCATTCCTCAAAAGGTTGGGTCTTATGTAACACGAATAAATGCAAGACTAATTCCTCAAATACTCTGTTTTTGTCTTTTTACACGCTTGTAAACCATAGAGAGAGTAAAAGAAAGACTGGTGTAGCCACCATGATCTTGTTTTGAAAAGCCTCAAACTAAACAATGTCACGGTCGCCATCTTGGTGTTTTGAATTGTGTCTGATAAGTCACTGATTAAATCTCAATTTTTGACCTTAAAAGTGACAATACTTCACAAAATTAATTCCTAGTTTGTTTTTTTCAGTATGACCTGCAGCTAGCATAACATATCTACTGAAGTCATAGTTTAAAAAAAAAATGAGAATGTTCCACTACAGCAAGACCCACCGCCCCCTGCTGGCCGTTAGAATAAATGCAGGTTTATGACACTTCTATATTTATTTAGGTTTTCAGCCATTCAGTTCATGGTAGTATTGAGAGCTTGAAAAAAAAATGACTGGACTTCTTTGGGGTTTTTTTGTTTGTTTGCTTTGGATATTAACTTCTACATTGGCTTTTCAGACACAGCGGTCACATCCGTATTTTTTACACAAAACGGAATTTCCTGCTGAAGGTACAGAAGGAACAGGCAAAACCAAGAACAGGACCAAAGACTAAAGAGGGTCTGTTACTCACTGTGATCCTTTCCCTGGCCTGGCCCCGTGCCGACGCTAGCCTTGGGCGTGACGGGCATCAGCGCCTGCCGGATGGCTTTCTCCCAACTCTGCCCTACATCCCGTCCCACGCCAGATGCTGCCAAAGCTGGGTTGTGGTAGAGGCCACCGTTGTCCTCCCCGACGTAGTACACCATGCTGCCCGTGATGATCTCAAAGCAGTGTGGGTTGCTACCCTGAGGCAGTCTGCCAAAGTCTTGCGCCAGCTCCACTTGCAGGATCTCAGACAGGGGGATCTCCTATGGAATAAAAAAGAAAGTTTAAATCCTGGGTGTTGTAGATGAAGTAATCTAAAAAGGTCCTTTTAGCCTGAACTTGAATTTCAGCACTTATAGAACATATCTTCTCTGATTTTATTTTTTAAGAGTCAGAATCATCCATGAGGTCTTGAAATTATCCAGAGGGCTCCATCCTAGCACCTCTCCTCTCCTTGCTAAAACTAAGACACTCTTTGAATGTCAGTGTTTAAAACTTTTCTTCCTTCCTTTTCTGGCAGAGTGCAGAAACCCTGCACCCCTCCACAAACCCTTAACCATGCCAGATCAAACATTTCAAAAAGAGCGATTGGCTCAGTGGTGCCTCCACGCTCCTCGGACTCATTTGAACATTTTGCCAAGTTCACCCCAAGCCACGCCCTCCCATCACCATCTTTTCATCCTCTGATTAAAAGACAGGACGTGACTTAGAAGGTTCGGGCACTTGGCAGCGCGGCAGTGAGCCAAAGAGGCGGCAGGGAAGCGACCCGACAACTCCAAAAACCACCACAGATCCCCCACCCCCCAACCACCCCACCTCCCCGGCCTTGTGCTCCATACCTCCTCCCTGGCTTTCTCTTCAAAGGAGGATTTCTGCTGCGCTTTGTGCTAAAGGTCAACAGGTCGGCGGCAGGCGCGAGATAAAAGGACGTGAGGTATGAGAGAGGGAAGTGATGGAGCTCCAGCTGAATTCAGTGATCACAGTTTTCAAGGAAATTATTTAGTCCAACTTGGAAGTTCAAAATTGGATTAAATAAATAAATAAAAGCCACAGATCTGCACTGTCATTAAAAACACATCGGTGAGCACACTGCTGCTGAAGTTTACAGGCACTCATCATGGGCATAAATGTCGTGGTAATTTGGGTCTTTTAGTGACTTCTTTGAACTGTTGCTTTTCTAGTTAAATGACTGTGCAGCATGCATCTTTAATGACTTTAAAAACAAGAATTATGAGCTTGAATTTATTTTGGATTTTCTCTCATTCACACATGGTCAAAAGTCTACATACGGGCTCAGATATAAACATCACACCCAATATTTAGCAAGTTGACCAGAGTTGGTAGCCACCAACAAGCTTCTAGTTCAATATGAATATTTGACACCTTTTATTGGCAGAATTGGTAGAGTTCATTCAAACTGGTTGGTTTCCTGGCATGGACATGGCTTTAAAGCGTAGCCCACAAATCTTTAATGGGGTTGAGGTCGAGGATTTGCGAAGCCCATTCCAGAAGCTTAAATTTAGCCTGTTCTGTTTGAACAGCTAATTGTATCCAAGTTTCAAGCATGTATCTGTGGATTTGAAGTATTTTTTGTTTATTATTTCATCTACTTTGGCCCAGAACATGATGTTACCACCGCCATGCTCTACAGTATGTTTGAAAACCTCACCTTTACTTCTCAAACACCTCTTATCACTGTAGCTCTTTATCTTGTATAAATCATAAAGTGTTTCTTCAGCAGTTATTTGGCGTGTCCATGTGGGCAGATGGAAATTTTAGTCAAGCTTGACGGTGCTGATTTTGGAGAGGGGGCTTCTTTCTTGGTCAGCAACCACTCAGTCTAGTGTCGTAAAACTCACTTCACTGTGGACAGTTCATGGCAGGCTTCAACCTTGGTGGTTCCTGGGTTGTCCATCATCCGAGGGTGACAGTTTGGCTTTGTCTTCCAGACCTCACCAAAGTGGTGACATATCCAAACAACAATTTTTTGAACAATGATCTTGAATCTTGGATGACCTTTTTAGATCTTCATTGAGTTCTTTGGACTTCTCCATGGTTTTGAGTATGGGTCAGTCCAATGAGTGGTGTCAAACAAATCCTTTTATGCTGGCAAAGAGGAACTACCAGTTGAAGCCAATTGTGATCACCAACAGTTAACAGGCCTTAGCAACGTGAACTTAAGACATTGCAGAAACGTCAGCACCACTTCTTAAAAATATTTGACTGAGTGAATGTATATGTTTGTCCTTGGATTAAAGAAAGTCTAAAATAAATTCAAACGTATGCACCCAGTTCTTGTTACAATCACAATGGGCGATCGTGGCTCAAGAGTTCGGAGGTCGCCTTGTAATCGGAAGGTTGACGGTTCGAGTCCCAGCTTGGACAGTCTCGGTCGTTGTGTCCTTGGGCAAGACACTTCACCCGTTGCCTACTGGTGGTGGTCAGAGGTTTTTGGTATATATCCGGTGGCGCCAGTGTCCGTCAGTGCGCCCCAGGGTGGCTGTGAACAATGTAGCTTGCTATCACCAGTGTGTGAATGTGTGGATGACTGAATGTGTAAAGCGCTTTGGAGTCCTTAGGGACTAGTAAAGCGCTATACAAATACAGGCCATTTACTGAAATGGCCAGTAAATGGCGCATTTACAATGCCAGGCGCATTATTCAATGTCAGTGTTGGTACAACAGATACTTTTAGTGTTTCTTTGCCACCTTTCTTCAAATATATTAAGTTACATTATCAACACAGAGCTTTCAGCTTTCAACCAATGATAGACAACCTGCTCTTGGAACAATTACAGTGGACAAGCAGACAGTGATGTGTGTTAATGTCGTATGAGGTTCATGCTGTGTTACGGTATGAACCCGACTCCCTCCAGCTCTTCTCTTCACGTCGCTGCTTTGTTTGGCCGAGCAACTGAAACTAGATCCAGGGCTCACCGGGTCTCCTACCTTGTAATACTTGGCTCCACTTTCATTCTGAAACAGAGTCAGACTCTTGCTGTCCAGCCTCCAGTAATGTCTCTTCCTCTGCAAAGATAAAACATGTCATTAGGGAGAATGCTTTGAATCCGAGTCCAGAGAGAAAATAAAAATCTTTAAATCTCTTTTAGTTTCCAGTAATCAAAGACTTTCCTTTGAGGTTTTGAGTGATGGATATAAATGGAAGTATCTGAAGTACATGAAACCTTTTCAAACAGTACTATATGTAGGACAGAGTCTTTTTATTGGCCAATAATTTAATTCCCTGGATGACAATAGATGTGTTCACATGATTCACTTAACTGCTTGTTAATTTCTAGTAGAGCATTTGCATGTAGAACATGTTTCCAGATTGTGTGGATATATACCAAAAACCAAAGCTCAGTGATTAAAATGGATTTAATAATTTCTGCACTGACTTGAGGAAGCACCTCAAACTTCCAGACTGCAGTGCTAAAGCTGACGTAGGTTATCAGTGCCCTGTGTTTGTTCATCTCCAAAAACTACCAAGCTGAAATTTTTGAAATTAGGCAGTGAGGTAGAGCAAATAAAAAAGGAAGAACGTTTGAAATTTTGGTGCAGATTAACATCACTTTTATTACATTTTCTAAATACGACGCTGGGATTAGTGACAGCTTTGCCTTTCTCCCTGTGCTCGTCCAGTTTACACACCTCATTTAACTCCTACAGCGAAGCACATTATTGAAAAATGCTATTCACATTAGCCAATTAGTGCTTACAGTGTAATGTACAACATTTCCTATTTGCATTGTGTTTCATATGTCTTGTGTGTGAATATTGCCTATAAATGTTTTAGCTTTTAGAGTTTGTGTCTGTTTTTTGGAATTTTTTTGCTGCTCCTAAGAGCTTTTAGCCGAAGCCAAAGGATTAGACTGGATTGATATTTTTACTTAATTATAAAATGAATTCAGATATTTCCTGCTTTTGTTGTTGTTCCTGCAAACAGACCAGCTGTGTTTATGTCAGGCACCAAAAGGCCTAAAAAAAAAAAGCTCAAAAGACACCTTAGTTTGTCTGTGTTTTGTGCTTCATCTCACCAGGTTGTCACGGTTGGTGTAGTGCACCAACCAGCCTTCTTTAACCACTGTGGAGCTTTTTCTCTTGGTGTGTTTGATGGACTGGACCACACGCATCAGAGGGATGTTGCTGCTGGTCGACGGGCTGCGTGAAACCAAATAAAAACATGCAAAGAAGCATTTTAAGGAAAAAAAGCCCACACAAAAATACGATACTAATGAGAATGTCAAAGATTCAAATAAAAAAATAAAATGTATGCAAGTCTTTGGAGGAGTTCCTTCTTTTCTGTTCTCTAAAGCCAGCTCTATGCTCTCTTAACACTGAACACACTCGTTTGTTGTAGATTTCGGTTACAAACCACATGAGGGTGGAGCCATGCTTGAGGTTTATTGCTGACGGGGATAAAAACATGCCATCCAACACTGGACGCTACTTTGAAATTGTACCGTATATCCAAGAGAAATTGAACCTGTTCACATCACACATATCATGATCTCTCTACTTATGACAAAGCATCCAATACTGAGGCTCAATAGATTAGAGGATAAATTAAGATTTTTATAATGCTATTTTAAAGCCCGTCACCAGTTCCAGTTGTCTGCTTCACCTGATCGTTCTGACCGTCTCGTCATCCTTCTCGCAGTCTGTGCAGGGACCCTCAAAGAAGATCTTGTCTTCGGTGGACTGCTCGTCCTGCTCGTCCATGCTGTGACCTCCATCGCTGTTCACATCGCAGTCCACCTCCATCGTCGCCTCTGAGTCCATACCGGGACTGGCTGGCTCTGAAGAAACAGGAAAAACATGAGGTCTTAAACTTCCAGCACAAGATTTCACTGAGCTGCAGTTCCTCTAATGGCCAGCAGGGGTTAGGTGTAAAATGCCAAAGACTTGAAATGAAAACGCTTCTCAATCCAATGTAAAAAATAAAATGGTGTTATGGCGTGAGGGGCCTACAAGGGACCAAAAGGAGATCAAAAATACTCTGACGTGATCAGTGTAAAGTCTGAGCTCTGCAAACGTGAGATTCCTGTCTCCTTTATTTCTTATATAGACTCCTCACTCATTTCATTGTCTCGTAGAGCAGGTCACCCACAGGAAAATCATTGTTAGGGTAATCAGGGAGCGAAATGAAGTCATTTTTTTCTTTTCTATCAAAATTAACTTAATGTTAAGAGTTTGGTACTATCAGTGCTGCAAAATTAGAAATTTTTTGACATCACTTTGAACTCTGAGAACCTCAGTTGAGGGTTTTTAAAAATATTTTCTGCCTTGAGCGCAAGAAATTCTGTGTTGCAAGCTGCTCTTTAGTGCTCAGGGGGAATGAGCAAATAAAGTTTTGTGTTTTCTAATTTTATTTATGTAATCTTTTATTATTTTCTTTTGACTTCTTTTCAGTGTTAGTCAGTCATTTTAATTATTATTTAAATTGCTGTCTTTTATTGTTGTATGGAGGGCATATGTTCCAATGAATAATAAAAAAGGAAATCAGATATGGTGTTACAGATAAACAGTAGCCAGGGTGGGAACCCATTTAACTGTCCATTTAACGGTTTTGTTTTAGCCTCTGGGCACAACTGTGACTGTTTTATGGAATCTGGTATAGCCAACTTCCTGTTCCCTGCGCTGGTCAGAAGAACCTAATCGCATAAACTGTCATGAGATGGCAGCTGACGGCTTTGAGATTGCATTTCCTCCTTGATCTTCTCTACCTGTATGAAACCAAAGTGTCCTCAGCGGTCAATAAAAATCCAACAACAGGAAGAAACTAAAAAGAGTCCAAGAGCAAATCTCCCGTCCTTTGCCTACAGCGTCAGAATCTGTCTGCAGATATTAAATTTTGCCCATCAAAGGTTTCAGATGATTAAAGCGGTAAAAGTGAAACCGACTCACCTCCGTTAAAGTCGACCTCGCCCAGGCAGTCTCGAGGTACTTTGGCTGCACATCTCTTATGGCAGTTAAATTTACAGTCTAAAAAGCAAACATACAAAAAACATATTAAACATTTTAAACTTCTTGAATAACCATGTGACAAAGAGTAACCGATGGTTCCTACAGAGTACTGCAGAGTCTCCACACACTTCACAGGGCGATTAAGAAGAAAGTGAAGGAAGGTTAGGACTTTACAGCAGATTGAATATCTCTGGAGTTTGGACTGTTGGTTTCTCTATTTTCTAAGACTTTCCTGTGTGTGTGTGTTTTTGCGTGTGTGTCGTCACCTTTGCATTGCAGGCCCTGGCGGAAGAGGCCCTTCAGCAGGCGTTTGCAGAACTGGCAGATGGTGGGACGGGTGTAGGTGTGGACAGAGAAAGTGTGGGGGACTTTCACCCGGCCCAGGACCATCTTCTCCATCCAGATGGGCCGGCCGCTCAGTAGGGAGTTGCGCTTCATGGCGCCCAGAAGAGGGCGCTGCAGAGGGGTGGAGAACAGAAACAAAAATGCGAAGAAGAAATAGGATTTCTTTTTCTGTTTATGCTCAGATTTCCAAACAGAGAGCAAACTGACCAATAACACTCCAGTAACTCATTTTAGTTTGTATTAAAATTTGTTCTTCATTTAAAAACGAATCATTAAAAAACATCACGCTTAGACGCTGGAGGAAGGAAGTGCTTAATAATCCCTACCCTTATCTACAGTATCTTTTATATCTGTAGGGCACTGCCATCCTGGAGTAGACGACTTCCACCAGGACAGAAATATTTTTAATTTTCATAGAATCAAAAGTGATCATTGAGAACAGCTTTAGCTTGAGTTTCAGTGACCTTTCCTCTCCCAGCAGGGCTTCCAGATCCTCTGACTGATGAGGTCAAGAGTTCAGATTTTATCTCAGTTCTTCTGCCTCTGGCAAAACTTCAGTTTATAGTATTTTGTACCGATACAGAACCAAGATGTCTGAACCATCTGTGGATTCAACTTTCAAATATAAACAACAAATGATGCTGTCTTCTTTTTTTTCTCCATTTTTATGCAAGTTATTTTATTAATTACCACAAACATCCTGAAAGAGGCAATCAGCTGAATCTGGAAACAGGCGAGCCTGTTATGTTGTTGCGCTCATGCATGCACAGCTTCACGTGGGTGCTGGCAGACTTATCTACTGATTATCACAGTAAAGGTGCTCTGTGTTCATAATGTGAACAAGAAGCACAAATCTGTGCTGAGGTGACTCACTCTCCAGCATCATTTACATTTAAGGGAAAAGTATCAAATGTAGTTTTCTTTGTTCTTTGTAAATGCACTTTATGAGATTTGCAGTTTGCCCCCCTGAAACTCCTTCTAACACACAATCTGCTGGAGCAACTCACCCAGCTTGCACGCCAACAGCATGTTCTTGTTAGTCTAAAAAACTTTAACTCTTTATACCAATCTACTGACCTCGAAGGAGAGGTCAGAGGTCAAACGTGACATATATGTGAGAATCATAGTTTCTGAGCTATGAGGATTTTTGTAAACCATTATGTTGGCTTTTGGTGGATGTAAGCCAAATTTTAAGTTTTATCAGAATTCATTTAAAACTTTTCAAGCTGTCGTGTTCACAGACAGAATAACACACAAGCACACAAACGCTTCTAAAAACATGAATTAGTGTAGAGTTTATTCTGCGTTCCGCTGTATGTGTCTGGATTGAGTTAGGAAACTTTAAAGGAAACAAGTCCACCATAAGGCTAACATGGTGACACACAACTAGACACTCTCACGCCCACATCTAAAGCCAACTAACACTCAATTAACCTAACGA